AGGCGTCTGTCTTTCTTTCTGTTCAAAAGCCATGTACTGTATCTGTAGATAATTGTTTTGAGGAAAATGAAAATATAGATGTTTGTTCCGCTGTGTTTGATGATAAATAGTAGCTCTGTGTTTGTGTGTCTGTTGAGTTAAATATTTGGAAGATTCAGTTCAGGAACCAATTCCAAAGCACGATCCTGGATAAAAGGTTGGGTCGCGGCCCGGTGCGAGCGGGGTCCGTCCCGGATCGGGTCGGGTCGTGACACCCTCTCCCATGGAATCATGAGATTCAAATCCCAAAGCCCACAAATACCTTCCTAAAATAACTTCCCTCAATTAGGAAAGGGTATTTAATTGAATTCAATTCATATTTCTGAATTTCAAATATCTCCCTCCCAAATTTAATCAAATCTGAATTTAAATTCAAATTTGATTTATTCCAATTAGCTAAATCTCTTGGGCCCACATATCTTAAATCAAATCCCAAATTAGCTCCCCATATGGCCGGCCCTTCCTCTCTCTCTCCACTTTCATTAAATGCTCCCAATTAAGACTCCTTAATCACCTCCCCATGCCACCTCCCCTCTCCCCCAATTTCTCTCTTCCACTTTAATTCTCTCAATTTGAATTTGAATTCAAATTCAAATTCATCCCGCCAATTTCACTTAATCTGAATTTAACTACAGGTGCCACCTAAGCAAGTAATTAAATTCTAAACATTATTCCCATAGCTATCCACAAAACTCCCCACCACATTTCCCCAGCTTTTGTGCATCCAGAAGGTGGCAAATCCTGAATTTCTCCTCTCCAACGTGCTGTCCAAAATTCTGGACAAGTTCTAAGTGCTGCCATGAGACTCAGAACATAGGAAGCTGCTGTCCAGAAGAACTACAGCAACAGAAACAGCAGTTCTGCTGTTCCCAAGTCCTCCAGCTGCTGTCCCAAGTCGCCGAACAGGATCCGGGTCACTGTCCAGATGAAATTCAGCCAAAGGAGGCGACTGTCATAACCAGAAAGACCTTCTAGTTGCTCCCCCCCCCCCAAACCCTTCGTTGTCCCCCCCCCCCCCCCCCCAAAGCCCCATACCATAATTTAGTGAACTCTCTCCCTCACTCTTTTATTTTCTTAGTTACATCCTTGCTTGTGGTTATTATTATAGTCATGAAGATAATGACAATACTTTTTCGCTAACACCTAGAAATTGGAAGAGTTGATTGAGGGATCTTGTAGAGACTAATCTTATTGTTAGCATTGAGATTTATTGTTGAAACCATTCATGTATGCAACGTTATATTAAATTGATTGTCTTACGATCTTAACCTCTATGCATGTAATTTAGTCTAAACTTGTCTTACCGCTCATTGTGTTTTCTTTTGTCGTTCAAAATCAATACAAAGATATAATTATTGTGATTTTTAAAATTAAGCGTGCAAACTCCCTAATTTAATCATCCTTGTATGTATGTTTTACATCACACACACTTATTTAATGACCTAAAAAACATCATTTTTTATGAAAGGCTATCTTTTCTCACTAAAGAATAAAACATTGAACTGTTCATCAATGTGAGGAAAAGCTTCCAAAGAATGGGAAGAAGGGCTACAGCCATTAACATTTATCAGTTTCAAAATACACGACTCACAGATTTCCATTAAAAAAAAAATACGTGCACGCACACTTAACCTAGCACAACTACATTTTAAATTACCAGACTTGTCAGTGAATATAAAATGCAGGACAAATCAATTAAATATATCATTTATGTAACTAAAAGACCTAGACTGCTTACATAGATATTGCACCATTAACAACATGCTGAAAGAAGAATGTAGAATGAGACATAAAAATAAGTTGGTTACTAGATAGGCTTCTTGAGGAAGTAATCCCTCCTATTAACTAGTTTAAGTTGATAATATTACCTGGTATTCAGCTCTCTCAGCTAACAAGAGTAAGACTTTGCCAATTTCATGAAGAACAAGAAGCATCAAGTGCCCATGTAGTTTGACAGCTTCTATCTCCTCTTGGATTCGCAGTATAAGTCTTGAGATCTGGTCCTTTGATGGAATACTACCCCGGCTTGATACTGGAAATATGCTATTAACATAATCTGAAAGGCGGCCAAGGCAAAGAGCCAGGAAGGCTGTCTGAAATATATTTATGGCTGCAACCATTTGATCCTTTCCTTCCAGGGTAACAGCAGAAAGGAACCCTTTTACATCAGTGTCTCGTGAAATCCTTTCAAGAAGATTCTCAACCATAGTGAAAAGTTTTGGGTACCCGAGAGTAAATACTTCTTTGACAAAACTTGAAGTGTTGAAAGCCGATTTCATTTGGCTTGCAAAAGATTTTATAAGTGCATCCCAAACTCTGTCTGTCAAAAGAGGATCACCATCCTGCAAAAGTTTACAATCTAAGCTACAAGAAAGTACATAGACTTCAAAAAGATGAATCAATGGGGATGGCTTCCTGTGTTGGATGACTGAAAAGAACATAACACTGAGGTATTACGGACAGCAGAAATTGTTTGCCCACCATTTGAATATTTGAATTTCTGCTTCTAAAATTATAATATTAAAGGAAGCTCAACAATTAAAAAGAAACTAACTGAACGTTCATATTTCTTTTTCCTTGAAACCAAAAAAGCATGAAACTTGCGGAAACAGCACGGAAACTAAAGCTCAAAACCTTTTGTTAGATAATTCCCAGGTTAGGTAACACACGCCAGCTGTTCAAAAAAGCAGTGAAAAGCCTGATAGGCAGCAATCTACATTTATGTGGAAAGAAATTCACAAATGTTTCATAGATGTGTTTGAAGGAGTTGCAATTGAATAACTATGTCGCAGTAATTGCTTCTATGAACTAACTGAGAAAAACTAAAGTTTCCAGTAACTAAGAAGAGGGTTGAATGACTAAAAATGGTTGAAATATACTATTGAGAAATAAACTGAACCAACAGACTAAACAAAACTGAACCTTTAATCTGACCTTCACTTCTGTATTTCTTTACCTTGCATCCAAACAGGCGACTGAAGGCATTGCATTCACAAATCAACTGGTTCTTGCTCCTACATTAAGCTAGACGCTAGTAGGTGCAACTCAATAACATGAAAAGGCACCGGAGATGCTAAACATATTTCTATTTGTCAATTCAATGCAGTCTAATAAACTGATTTTTCAATGCAAAGTCTTGGCATGCATATATCAAAAGAAGAATTCAGATGCCCCCACTCATAGGCCCTTATCAGCACTAAATGCATATGAAATAGAAATATACTGCCATTCAAATTACCATAAACAAGCAAAACAACAATGATCGTAGTCTACTTTTATCAAATGTCAGCTTAACAAAACCACAAAAAGTCCAAACAATACCAGTCCAATTTAATACAGAGAAGAACAACACCATTAAGTAAAATTAAAAGAAACCAAATTTGGCAAAGCATAAATTAAACTCACCTGCCAGACCTCATGCAGGAACAAAACCTGCGTGAATGGAACCCTCTTTTTAGACAGCACGGTCTGCAATTGCCACACTGCCGTCACCACCTTATGCAAATCATCCATGCATCTCCCCATCCTCTCCCAAAGAGCCTCTCCAGCCTTCTTCCCTGCCCCAATTTGCGGCGTGCCACTCCTGTGCACGCTTCCCGGCCCACCAAACCCTCCTGTAGCTGAGATCGCCTTCATATCCAGCGCAGCCCCAACGCTTTTAACCCCCGACGTCTTATATTTGTTAATTAATTGATCCACCGTCGATCTCAACTCCCCCAGATTATAAAAAACCTGAAGACCGCACCATATATCATTCTGGTTATGCTCGTCCATGCCTCTTTCTACAGCCTTCATCGCCTGCGACCGTAGCTGGTTTCCAGTCTCCGAGAGCCAGCGGATCTCGTCCTCCACGGCAGAGATTCCAGCGAGGCCGCGCTCTTCGTAAAGGAGCTCGATGTCGCGATGCATTTCAGCGGCCTTAGCGAGATCTAGACGGTCAGTGGGTTGGGCCATGACGTCTCGGAGCTTCTTGGAAAGGCGTAGGAGGCGAGCAGATGAGTTAAGAAGATCTGCAGCAGCATGGAGGTTCGATAACTGGATAGTGTGGGAGCGGACAAGATGAAGAGGCTCGGCCAGTTCCTGGCGAGCGCGTCGGAGGGAGGATTGAAGAGAGGAGACTGCCGAGCGTACAGAGGAGAGGGAGGTCTCCGCTTCGCCGAGGGAGGAGAGTTGGGAGAGAAGGGCGGGGTGACGAGCGAGGACTTCGGCGCGGAGGTGCTTCTGGAGAAGTCTGATGGCTTCTTGTAGGCTTTCGGCGCGGGAAGCAGCGGATCCGGAGCTTAGAGCTTGAGAGGAGAAGCGAGCTGAGTCAAAGTCGGTGGAGAGGAATGCAGAGAAAATGGGGTCTGAGGCGAAGGCCTCGAGAGGAGACGCCGCAGGGACAGCGGAGACGCCAGTAGTGGACGAATTAGGGCTTGCTTCCTTAATTGTAGCGAGCCGCTGGAGAGGAGAAGAAGGGAGAATTCGCGGGGACGCCATCGCCGGCGACGAGCGCTCTCCTACAGATCTGTAATGCCTCTCCCCGCTCTCTTGATCGGCGGGGCTGTTTGGTATCGGATTTACAGCGGGATTTAAGTCGGATTTAGGCTAAATCCAGCCAAACAGTTTTTGTCGTTAAATCCGGGATTCAGTAAATCCCGGATTTACGGATTTACAGCTCAAATCCGGGATTTAGTAAATTCGAGGGGTAGCCGGATTTAGTAAATCCGAGCGGGATTTATCCGAAGAAGCGTATCTAATTTAACTTAATTATATAATTAGATTAATTAATAAAACTTAATATATCTATTATTAAATATATAATTAATTGTATAAATAATAATTAATGGATAATTTGTACTTAACATATTATTAAATTTATAACACATTATATTTTTTATTTTTAATTATAAATTTATTTTTAAGTTATAATTATCTTCTTCACATTTAAATGTCTAACTACTATAAATCGTGAAATATGTTACTAAACAGTTTCTTCGGATTTAACAAGATTTAACATTTAGCATACCAAACAGTTTTCAAGATTTAACACATTTCGGATTTACTAAATCCGGATTTACAGTATTTACTAAATCCCACTTGTTGCCAAACAGCCCCTACATATGAATTTTTTTAATATAAACTTTTTTTACTTTAGGTCTTGTTAGCCCGATTGACCCGACCCAGTCCACTTTATTTTCATTTTAAACATTTGCCGCCCTATTTTTGAAACCGCAAAAGATCTAAATATTTATTGCTTTAGAAGAAAGAACGATCTAGAAAATTGCAGAAAAGAGATGGAATGCTCAGCGAAGATGGAGGTGGAAGAGGGAGTGCATGAATCAGAAAGGATGCATGAATCGGAAGGAGTGGTGCATGAATCGGAAGCTAACTTAGTTGGATATTTCTCTGGTTTCAACATATCGGTAAGTTTTAAATTCATCGCAACTTGGAAAAATGAGCTAGAAAGTTGTAAACGAAGTAGTGATGTGTTTACCGTAGAAAAAGGGCGTAGGTTTCAGCTCATTAGAGGCTTAGGATCTTAAATGTTGCGATTTAGTTCCCATAAATGTTTTTAGGAATTTTTTTGTTTTGGCGGAAAAGTAAAAAAAAAAAAAAAAAAAACTCTAATGTTGTTGTTTAGCTTTCATTATTATTTTTAGGATGAAGAACATCATTGTTTTAAGGATTGGTAAACCAAAGATGATAAACAAATCTTGAGGTTTATATGTGCTTTAGTTGTGCTTTACATGCGCTTTAGTTGCGCTTTTGTTGCTTTTTACATGCGCTTTTAATTATTTTTTAATCATTTCAAGCTGTTTATAAAGATGAGAAAGAAGCATATGAATGTTTTTGTACTTATGCCCATGATAATGGCTTTAGCATCCAGAAGGATCATCATAGTTTTGACCAAATTTTAGGAAGATAAAATCCAAGGACTTTATCTGTTCAAAAGATGGTTTCAAGAAAAGTATTGATCTTAATCTTAATTCAAGAAAGAGATTCACTAGACCAGATGTTAAAATTGGTTGTCCATTCATGGTGTGGTTTGTAGTAAATGAAGATGATTACTAGCATGCCAAAAGATTTATTGAATCCCACAACCATGAATTGGCTAGCCCAATCGGCCGACACCTTCTGAGATCATGTAGGAATATTGTTGAGGAAAAAGCTTTCGTCCTAAAATCAATGATAGATGCAGGGATTAGAACAGTTGATGCATATGCTTACATTGTAGAGGAAGTTGGAGGATGTGAGGATGTTGGATTCTCTAAGAGGGATGCCTACAATTTTATTCAGAGGGAGAAAATAGCAAGGGTTGAAATTGGTGACACTAATTCTTTGATTCAATTATTTAAAGATTGACAAGTGGAGGACCACATGTTCACATAGGATATTCAATATGATGAGCATGATAGATTGTTAATTTTTTTTTGTGTTAATGGCAAAAGTAGGATAGATTATGAATGTTTTGGAGATATGTTGATTTTTGATACTAGCTACAGACTCAACAAGTATAATTTTATTTATGCACCATTTGTTGGTGTTAACAATCATTGGTAGAATATTTTGTTAGGGGTTACTTTTTTGTCAGAAGAAACAAGTGAAAGTCTTATATGGTTGTTTAAAATATTTATATGAATAATGGATAATAAATATCCAACAACAATATTCACTGATCAGGACCAAGCTATGGCCATGACCATAGAAGTTGCATTACCTCACACTTGTCATAGAGTATGCAAATGAATCATTTTTAAAAAGGTTCCATCAAAAGTTTCTATCTATAATAGCAATAATAAAGTTAAAGTACTCTTCTATAAGTGTATGAGGTTGTGTGATTCTGAAAAAGTGTTTGAGAAGTCATGGGCTGAAATGATCAAGGGAACCTTCATAATCATGAATGGTTGCAGAATCTTTATAAGATAAGAAGAAAGTGGTCAACAGCTTTCAACAAGGATTGTTTTAGCATGAGGATGCAGCGTAGTGAGTGTACTAATAATGTATGTCATGGCATTTCGAAGCCAACAAGTTCATTAACTGATTGTTTTCTTGGATTGGAAAAGGTATTGATGAATTGGAGGCGAAATGAACAGGATGAGGAGTACAAATACAGTCAGTCTAAAATTATTCATGTGATAAATAACAGCTCAATATTAAAACAAGCTGCTCGATTTTACTCAAGAAAAATATATTCTATTTATGAGGAAGATTTTATACAGGCTGTGGGAGAAACGAGTATAAACCTTCTCTCAAGTGATTCTTCAAAGTTTATAGTCAACTACATAGAGAAAAAGAACTAACATCATCCTTGGGTTGTTCACTTTGATGCAACAGAAGGTAGCATTCAATGCAGCTATAAGAAATACGAAACCATGGGATTGTTGTGTTCTCACTATTTAAGGGTTTTTAAACAGTTGGATATGGCTAAATTCCCTGTGAAGCGCAAGTGAAGCGCAAGAAAATCTCAACCAAACCTTTCGCATCATTTGTTTCTTCCATTTGCGAAGAAGGTTGAAATTCAGAAAATAAATATTTGAAGATCACATTGAACAAACAATACTATGTATAAAATTATTACTAAATCCTAAAATTTAACATATAACATAAACGCAACAAAAGCGCAAGTCAAGCGCAACCATACCGATTTCTAAATGATGATCTTCTCCAATGTCATCGTCTACCGCCGGTGGGAAGAAGATATTGTAGAACCGAAGGTATTGGAGGAGTCTGAGAGCAGATTACCAGAGCCGAGAGTAATAGAGCAGTGAAAATGTCGTGTGAAATGAAAAAAAAAAACGCTTCGTTTCCATTCTTTTATTCCGAAATTCAAACCATCTGAGTTACTTGGTCGGGTCGATCATGCTGACAAGACATAAAGTATAAAAAAAATTATATTAAAAAAAACATGTTTATTTAGTCAGATGTCGGCTATCTATTGGCGTCCGAACACGGAGATAGGTTCGTCACCTGACCCAATAATTTGCCCTCTTGATCTCAAATTCTCGATGTTTTCAGATTGTGGAATTTACTAGTTTGTCCTCCATGAGAACGACCAAGGAGAATGGAGTGGGCTGAACCGGTTTAACATTTTAACTATAACAAGCTGGACCGTTGTACGACCGGTTCTGAAAATTTTCGTTTCACTCCATGAAATTTCCTCATTTGCATATAGAGAACGTTAACCATACTTTTCTTCAATACTTCAGAACAAGTATATTAATATATTTATTTACTCCTAGAATATTAAATAACATAAAAAAATACAACATTTCTCAATCTATGTGTTGCTTCGCTTTTGATAAACAGTTCACAAGCCCTATCAATACATTTTTTAGCAAAATCTTATTGTGAATGTCTCATCTCTTTTTTTTAGAGGTTTGCATATTTCGACCTCTTTGATACTCTTTGAACATAATCGATCTCTCAATACCCTTCTCATGCAATACCATCACAATTTCCTCTATTTTTTAGGCTTCGATTGGGACAGCTTATTTATTATATTTTTAAAACAGCTTTCAAATACAAAAATTTATAGCTCAAATAATTTTTGTACTAAGAAACTGCTTTAAAATATAATAAAAAAATTGTCCCAAAAGAAGCTTATATTTTAATCGATTATATGCTCTGGTTCTAAAATACTTTGCTCGGAATAAATTTGATTTAACTCCAAACAAACTTTATTTAATTAAAATTTGATTGATTCTTTGTATAGATATAAAGATTTACATATTTATTTTTGATGTTGTTTAAACATTAAATATGTTTTATAAAATTAATATACTTTAATTAAAAATTGTTTCTTTTTTTTCCAAAAAAAAAAGAAACAATTTTTTAATTGCTTTGATGGTAGAAAAGAAAAAACAATTAGCAAAAAATAATATACCTTTGCAAGACAATTTTTTTACCGTTATTTTAAATTTTTTATATAGATTTCATTTGGAATAATTTTCTTGCTGCTTTTTCAGTATTAATATTTAGTTTGGGGCGACTTTTTTACCGTTTCTTAAAACAGTTTTCTAGCAAAAAAATTAAAATTTTTGTGCTAAAAAATTGATGTAAGAAACAGTAAAAAAATCGTCCCAAAAAAATCCTAAAAATAATGAAAAAATAGTGGTAAAAAACTCTACCAAAAGAAACTTTTACAAAGGAAAAAAAAAAAAAAAAAAGAGAAGGGCCTGAATTCACTTCCATTTCAAAATAAACAGCAAGCTTCGTGGCAATGTAAATTACAACATGAAAAGGAAAAAAAATGGCAGATTGCAGAGATAGTGATCGCGCAATACGGTACCTGATTTCTACTTCTTTTTTCCAGCCTTTCCTTCTTTTCTTCTCACGACTTCATCGGCATACCTGACTCCCTTCCCCTTGTATGGCTCAGGCGGCCTCCAGCTCCGAATGGTGGCAGCAAATTCGCCAATGGAAGATTTGTCGTAACCACTCACCACAATTCTGGTGTTTTCTTCCACCTTCACTTGCAGCCCATCTGGAATCGCCATTCGCACTGGATGTGAAAACCCTAAATTCAGAACCAGATCTTTTCCTTCCAACACAGCTCGATAACCGACGCCAACCAACTGTAATCTCTTCTCGAATCCCTTTGAGACGCCAAGCACCATGTTATCAGTAAGGGTTCTGCATTTTACAGTTTTAAAAAGCTGCCATGAATGTTCTCATGGATGTGGATTGCTATTTCTTAGTACTTTATATGAATGAAATTTTAATTTTTCTTGTGTAAGGGGTGAAAGTTTCTACAAGCAACAAAATGAGTAATGATCAACCAGTTAAAAAACAAAAGAAGGATCACCTGATGGTTCTTGTAGCTGTATGTGACAAGGACAACAAGGAATTTCAATTTTGACAAAAAAAAAAGGTGGAGAAGAACAAAATGAGAAATAATTATGCACAAGTGAGCTGAGGGGCGGAATCAGCCTTAATTTTCAGGGGAGTCAAACTTATAAGTAAACGTGTAGATTTTTTTTCCATAAATATCCTTACAACCGAAATTTCTCAAAGGGCGCTGCCTCTTGACCCATATTTGTTAATATCCTTGATCGTTGTACGTTTCGCAGATATGTTGGGGGTCAAGGGGTAGCGCCCCTGTGAGGGTTTTCGGGGGCAACGCCCCGGAACAAATTTTGGTTGTAAGGATATTTTTAGATTCACTTTACTATTTCTCTTTGTACTGGTTAATCATTCTCTAACAATAACATCTCTACACAAAGGATTAGGACTGGTTTAGATTCACTTTACTATCTCGCTGGTTAAGGGAGATTTACATACATACCACTTAATACTATGCTATTTACATATTTAACATCTAAAACTTTAATATTACATACATACCACCCATAGTTCATTTTCATACCAAATATGAGTGGTAGAAATGAAATATATGTGTGGTAGGAAAGAAATGTAAGTGGTATATTTGATATTAAAATAACATATGGTGGTATTCATGTAATATTAAAGTTTTAGGTGTTAGATATGTAAATAAGATGTTATAAAGTGGTATGTATGTAAATTTCCCTATGTTGAAGATGTTGGGACAATTGCATAAAGACTATATTATTTTAAAACTTTTAAGGGGGGCAATTGCATAAAAATCCTTATAATAAAGACTAAAAAATACATTGAGAATGATAAATTATCCAAAGAATCATATAAGAAAGAAAATTTTTATTTTTTCAGGAGAGCAATTGTCTGCAGGGCTTTAAGGTAGATCGGCCCCTGAGTGAGTTGTAAGCATTAGAAGAACCAAAAGAAGATTCAAAATAAAAAAAATTAGGTGCTGTTCCTCATCATAGATTGTACCTGAAAAGGCCATGCATCTGATTTGCTCTTCTAGTTTCCAAGGCTTTGAACATTCTTAACTGTCCAGATTCCTGTCGCTCCAGTTTGACTTCTCGAGGTAAAGTCAAAGAAAGTTCACCCAATGGTCCCTTAACCCTTACATCCTGCCCTTCCATTGTGATATTCACGCTAGAAGGCACTTCAATTGGCCTCTTTCCGATCCTAGATTCTTTGCATTGCACTGGCTTAATTAGGAGCCCCTCCTTGGAGACAGGAAGACATGATAAACGTATCCGACTTATCTCTCCAAGAAATGCAGATTTTAAATTGCTGAAAAAGAAAGAAGAAGATACATAATTTAGATTACTGGGCACTCAAGCATGGAAATGTCAGATGTAATCATCACTTTCTAAAATATGGTTTCTACCTAGAAGCCACAAATGCCCTTATTACATTTGTTCCGTATAAACTTTTGTTTTAAGAAATTAGGGGTGCAACCGAGTCCAGCCGACTCGCAAGCGGGCTCAGATTCGACTCGGTAACAGGCTCGACGAGTCGAACTTATCGAGCTCGAACACAGTTTCGAGCTCGAAGGCTTATCGAGCTCGAACAGACCTCAGACTCAACTTGTCGACTCGACTGGGCAGGAGAGCTTGGGACGATGACGAACAGACGTGCTTGGGATGACGACGGATCTCGACGGCAGAGCCTTGGGACGACGACGAACGAGCTCGGGCGAACGTATCTTGACGGCGGAGCTCGGGACGATGAATATCTACAGCAAATGCGCGACGGTGGACCTCGGGACGACAACGGAAGCAACGAACATGGACTTCGGCACGACAGCGGGCGCGATGACATTTTGAGCTGGGTTTGAGCTCAACGAGCTGCTAGACATATGACGAGTCGAGCTCAAGCTCGGTTTTTGAGCTAGAGCTCAGTATCTAGCAGTCGAGCTCTACTCAAACAACCCTTGGCTCGAGCTTGAGCTCGACTCGTTTGCACCCCTATAAGAAATCAAGCACCAAGGATTAGGACTATGTAATACTCCATGTAGTTTAGTTCATATGAGAAAAGGGACTATGATTAGCATTTTTAGTAAAACAAGAATACCTTAAATTTCTAATGAACAATTCATTTTAATTAATTGTTAATCTTTTTTTTCTTCAACTCCATAGGCGCTCCCTGCATCATCAAACCATCAAACTGATCCACATCGCTGCCTGGTGGCATTGGTTGGAACCTGTTAGTGGAAATTCTCGTATCTAACTTCTTAGAATCCTAGGGCAATCCAACTTGCAGATCCCACGTAGGAACCCACTTGGCCAGGATCCCTGAAAATAACATTTTTTATATCCATTTGATGAATGATCGGCCTTCAGTCGACCAACTTAAAATTCCTTTTGGTAAACGAATAGAACACACGGATTTAGAAGAAATTCTAGTAAAATATTAAAAAACTCAGTAAAATTATTAAAGATTCTTATAACACTAGTAATATTACTGAGGTTTGGTACAACACTGGTTATCTAAAGTTAGTAGTTCACCAAAATTATTAAGGTTTTGCGCAATCTTCATAAATCAACTAGCATTGGTGCAACTGTATTAATTCATCAAGCCAAGTTAGATTACCATGATTTAACTCAACCTTGATAAAATTACTAGAGTTTGCTGCAACTAAGATTAATCTACTAGAGTACTAAAATCAGTAGATCATATAAGATTAAGTTAAAACTAGAATGAGGATTCTTGAGCTCTTCTTGGGCTTCTTGCAAGAGGACAGAATTTGGAGGGAAACTGTCCTAAAGCTTTATTCAGTTTACATCACATACAATCTCTATTTATTGAGATTTAGATAGATGTGGTAACGTGCAGGAACAACATAACCTAAAACTAAATCAATTCATAATAATCTTCACCTTGATTTAGTTTTGCAAAAATAAAGAACCACCCGATCACAAGAACTCGAGCTTGTTGCAATATGACCGATCGCCTTGGACACTTGTACTCTCTCCGACCTGCGACTCTGCATGATCCACTTGTCTGATTCCATATTCTCGATCATCTTGTTGTCCCAAGGTTCTTGATCTAATCCGAAGCTCCACCTTCTCCCTCATATGTGCCCGAATAGCCCGACCGAACAGCCCCTTCAGCCTCTGCCCAAGCTTTCGGCCCCCTCGCTCAACTAGCGAACCCCGTCAAGATCCCGCACGACAGCCTGCACCGTAACCCACATGAACCTTTACCCGCACAGCCTTCTCCCCCACTAATCATGTGTCTTGCCAAGTGCCCCGCGCACACTGCTCCTCTGCATGACCGTCCGCACTGAACCCGGCTTCGCCTGGCATCCGGCGAACCAGTTTCTGCCTTGCCCGCACGAGTCCGTTGCCTGATCTTGCTTAAGTCCAAACCCATCACCATACACCTCCAGCAACAGCTCTAATTGGCCCGTTCATAGACCAGCCGGTCTCAGCTCCACTCCAGTGCGAGCACTACGTGTAGAAATGCAATTTCTGCACGTAAGCCCTGATCCATAACCTGCACAACCTCCGACCATGTTTGATCAAACTCCGATCGCTCCGTGGCTCCACCTGCGGTGTCCGAGCTCACGCGTAAGGCTCCGCTCTGCCTTGGTTGCAAGAACATTCCTTCCTCAAGATCGCCTCCACCAAGGCTCAAATACCACTTGTTAGGATCTTGGATGTTTAAGAAGCACTTCCTTCTTGAGCTTCTTGGGAGAGGAGGAAGGAGAGAGGGAAGTGGAGAGGGAGAACAGCAAAACTCAAATTTTTATTGCTTAAACATACAACATATTACAACCTATAACCTCTATTTATAGGCACAAAAGTTACATCAATGGCAATACATGTCATTCAAGAAAGTACACAACTAAATGTAGGACCAATATTTAACCGATTATAAGTATCATTTTCTATAAAGAACTTGCAAACTAGAGGACTTATTGACTAAAAGTTTATAAATATTGTGCTTCTTCACAATTGACTGAAATGGGCCAATCTGTGGAGATTTTTATATATTCACATTTAAAAATGTGAAACTCACGAATAATTTCAACCAGCTGGTACAAACGCTCACCAAAACTTCCGACATTTTCGTGGACTTCTACTCCTACCTCATGGATCCGTGAAATCCCTATTGCATACTCATCAATCTATAAACTATTATAATTATTCTGCAATTATTATTCTGTCAACTCATCAATTCATGAACTAAATTAATTATTTTATAATTATTATTCATTATTTTTGCATGTTTCCTGTTACTCTGTTAGAAGCTCTCTTAGGATTATATAAATAGTACAAGAATGTTAAAAGTGCAGCAATGCATCCTTCATTGCTACATTGTCGTAGTTGTTTCTTTTTAAAAAAATTTCCAAGAATGGAACCTCTGTTTCCCTCTTCATGGGCAACAATAACAATACCCACATACCCTTAGTATCAGGTTCTCTTGGAATAAAGAGATGTAATCAAAATCAAACAAGAGAATAATTGCAAAATATCCGCTCAACATACCAATTGAACGGAACTATCTAAAGCAGTCACGATTAATTCACAGATTTTTTTAAGAGAACAAAACTGGGTCATTTACAAGGCATGGAGGAAAAAAAAAAAGGCTTTAATAGGGGCAACTTTAAAAAAAAATTCTACAATAGCAGCTTATACTCTAACATTCTTAGGCATCACCTCCTCGTCTAATGCCTTTATCTTAGTGATGGAGACATCAGATCATGGAAGGTTTATCAGAGGCGTGGCCGCCGATCTACGGCCATGATTGAGCCATTGTATTTTTGATTTATTTGATGTATTTTCTTATTTATGATGTCATTGTATTTGTTTTATTTAGTTTCCCGTTGTACCATTTTATTAAGGGATGTCGTATGTAAGCCCTGAGGGCATTGTCGTCTTTTCTTTTTTTTTAGTCTTATGTACGAGGCTATTTATAGCCCATATGTTTCTCTTTGAAGGTTAATGAATGATTGATTACAAATTTTTCTTCTCTTTGTTTCTCTTGAGAGCTTGAGAGTTTGGAGTGAGAGCCCTAGGAGAGGGAGGATTGCGCATCATCCACCAACCTAGACGAGTCGGGTTCGTGGTTCTCTTTCCTATCTCTACCTTTCCCCCTCCTACCAGTGGCGCGGCCAGAAACATTTTTTAGAGAGGGCACAAACTCTTTAAAAAAAATTTCCCTCAACTTTTTTGCATCCGGGCTTGGGACCAGCATAGGCAGTTTTAAATTTCTTTTTTTTTAAAGATTGAATACTAAATATAAGATAGAAAATACTTACAATTAATAGCGTGTGCTCTTCATATTTTGAAAAAGATTAACAATTACATCATTTTCAATACAATCCAATATTTTTTTCTCAATATATGCGAGTAAAGTATCATTCATCCACTGATCTCCAATCCTATTTCGCAGTCGAGTTTAAATGATAGCCATTGTAGAAAATACTCTTTCTACTCCTGCTGTTGCAACCGGCAAAACCAAAGCGAGTTTTAATTGCCTGAAAACAAGAGGATATAAAATATCTTTCTTGTTATGTATCATTGTCTCAGCAAGATGTCCAATATCTTTTAACAATGAGAAATGTGGATCTGATTGCATATCCATGATATAAGTTTCCAACTGATTGTCTAGAATTTCTAGTTCAACAGGAGTAAAATCACATGGATAAAGATGTGCCATTTGAATTAATCTGTCTTTACTGAATGCACAAAAAGATTTAGATGGATTCAAACAAGCAATAGATAAAAGTAACTCAGTATTCGTCTCTGTGAAACGATTATTTAACTCTTAAAGTTGCATATCGATAACTGTGTAGAAAATTTCAACTCTAAAGTGATGTAAATTCGTCATATCTTGAGCTCTACGACGAGGCCGTCCCCGAGCAACCCATCTATCATTCATGTCAGGAATATCTAATTTGTGTTGCTCACAAAAAGAAGTTAGCTTGGTGAAGAACTCTTCCCATTTGTTATCTCTCATAACTTGCAGCCTATTTTTACATATTCGAACCAAAGACATGGCATTTACAATGTCCTGTTCTTTTCTTTGCAAAGCTTGTGACGACTCAGCAGTTATACCAAGTATATCCTTCATCAATAGTAAGCAGAATGAAAATTCGAATGATTGCATTGTCCCTAATAATGCGAAAGCCTCACCTTTCTGTTCAGAACTGATATCATCTTCAACAACCACTTCTAGAATGTCAATAACTGAGGGGAACATTGTAATCAATCTAATAATTGATTCATAGTGCGATCCCCATCGTGTATCACCTGACCGCTTGAGAGATATTTCTTGATTCA